ATGATTATATTCCTTCCCATGCATGATAGAAAGAGCTCATTTTTGAGCTAATTTTGTTTTTTTTTTTGTTTTTTTTTTTTTCTAACCTTAGCTTATTAATCGGCAACTCCGAAAGACAGTATAATGCAGGGCCGGATTTTGAGCTGTGCAAGCAGCCTAACAGCATAGGGCCCCAAAATTTTAGAAGGTTCAAAATTTATTTTTACTTAACTAGTTATGAAGTAAAATATAAAAAAATTGCAATTAATTTCAAATGTTTTTGCATGTAGAGGTGGTAGAAACGCGTTTTCAAAGTGTTTCATATCCAAGACATCCATGGTTCAAATCTTGATTGCTTTAGCTGTGTATACATTTCCCTTCTTTAAAACTTTATTATTATTATTATTATTGTAATTTATTTATTCCATAATATGTCTGAAAAAATATTTTCCTTGCGCACCTTCCATTTTATCTTGTTATTATTATTATTATTATTATTATTATTATTATTATTATTATTATTATTGTTGTTGTTGTTGTCGTTGTTATAATTGTAATTTATTCCATAATATATCTGTTGTCTTTCTTTTTGCGCACAACAATATTTTACCACTTTATTATTATTATTATTATTATTATTATTATTATTATTATAAATTAGGGTATTGGTTTTAAAAATTAGCCTTTTGATAGGGCCTCATTCATTTACAAGAACGGGGCCACCAAAATCTAAAAACCGGCCCTTGTATAATGGGTTTGGATGGATTCGAAATGTTATATCATACATGGTGTAATCATATCAAACGTAATACAATTTGGTACGTACGTACTCCATGTCAAATTAAAAGTGATTGTGCCAAACCTATATCATTTCTCAACTCCAATCAAGTTAGGTAAACACTTTTAATTATAACTACGAGTTCTATTGATTTTTTTGAATATTTTTCGAGTATTATTACTTTTGATGACAAATGTAATATTTATAAGAATAAGTGTAATACTAAATTACTAATTGAATAAATAGATTGAATGTTACTTACGTGAGAACGTGTAATACTTATAAAGAAAAGTGTGACACTTTCAAAAAAAATGTAATATTTTAAAATGAAAATGTACTCCGTGTAATATTTAGAGGTTGAAAAGTTACTTGTGAGAGAAAGTGTAATACTTATGAAGAATTCAATCACTTTCACGAATGATTTGTGAGATGGTCTCATATAGAAGTTTTCCATTAGAGCATCAACACTAGAGTTAAAGTGGAGTTATTTCTACAATAAATCACTCAAGCCAAAGATAATAATTGATGCGGGAATGAGTTATTTGGAAAAGAATGAGCCTGCAAAATGTGGTTTAGTGTCAAAAATTTAAAAAAATAAAAATGATGCAGTTGCGTCTCACTGCCCACCCAGCGGGTGCGTGTGCTACATGCACCCGCATGGGGCGGCCACTCTCAATTGAATACAATTCTAGCCGTTGCTGGCCGAGCAACGGCCAAAATTATATCTGTCGCCGGCAACGACCACATTTTCGGCCGTTGCGGGCAACGGTTACTTTTTTCTCTTTTTTTTTTCTTTTTTTTTTTTATTTAAATAAAAATAATATATATATATGTCTATAAATACCATTAGTCTTCACAAATTTTTTTCACATTTTATCCTACCTCAATTTTAATGTTAATGTATTCTTGCAATTTTAATGTTTATTTCTCAAAGCAGTGAGAAATTCCTCCCTCACTGGTTTTAGAAGTTGCCGTTGCAGCAACGGATAGTTGCTGCAACAGCTACCATATTATTTTTATTTTTTATTTTTCTTATTTATATATATATATATATATATATATATATATATATATATATATATATATATATATTGGTTCTCGTGCGGGTGAGGGCTTTAGGTGCGGTTGTGCGGTTTAATCTGAGCCATTTATCTCACTTTAATCAACGTCCAGGATTATCAAAGTTTAAGAGAAAACGCGGTGACAATTTTGTAATTTTTGCATCTAGGTCAAAATTAAGGTGAGCGGATATGTGATTAATGTGCGTGAGTTTTGTGCTTAATGTGCGTGTGTTTTGTTCTTAATGTGCGTGAGGTTTGTGCTTAATGCGCGTGGGGATGTGCTTAACGTGAATAGTTGTTAAAACTTAAAGTCTGTGAATGAATATTTAAAGTGCGTGAGTTTTGTGCTTAATGTGCGTGGGTTTTGTACTTAATGTGCGTGAGTTTTGTACTTAATGTCAGTAGTTGTTGAAACTTAAAGTTTGTGAGTTAATATTTAAAGTGCGTGGGTTTTGTGCTTAATGTGCGTGAGGTTGTGCTTAATGTGTGTTGGTTTTGTACTTAAAGTGCGTGAGTTTGTGATTAAGATCTAACACTTAAGGTGCACCTTAGCTTATATTTCTTTGTTCCAAGCACGCGTTTTTTTTTTTTTTTTTTTTTTTAAATTTTCATTGATTTGAGCCGTTGATCTAAATTTGATCAACTGCTCAGATTTAACCGCACAACCGCACGGGAAGCTATACCCGCACCTGAACCCTTCCATATATATATATATATATATATATATATATATATATATATATATATATATATATGTTAGCATGTACTCCGTAATACTTATTCATCAACAACGACAATTAATTTAATCACTTTGTATTTTAATTGTTATGTACTGTAATTTATTTTTAACTGCTTTGTAATTGATTAATATTAAATCGCATTGTAGTTTAATTTTTAAGTAATTAGTTTTAATTATCATTTTATTTTAATTTGTTTTATAATTACCGTATGAATTTGTATACTATCGCTAATTTTTATTATTTTCTTTTATTTTGTTTTACCATTCAATTTTGAATTCTCATTTTTACGCATATACAGTATGCGCATGCATGTTTCAATATTTATTATTAAAATTAAAATATAAATAAAATAGAAAAAGAAATAATTAAACATATTGAATTAAATGGTGGATCCACAAATAATTCATAAAAAATTTAAAGTTGAGTTTTGTTGTGATTGAGTGAGATAATGGAGGATGTGGCGAATGATGGGACCTATAAATAACTCATAAATAACCCTAACTGATAAGGTTGCTCTAACCCTATAGTATTATTAGTTGTTAATAATTATAATGGAGCAATCCCAATTAAGTTGATCAGATTGCTAATTTCCTATTGCTCTTCTCAGTTTGACATAGTCAGTTATAGACAACTTAAAGATGAGCTTCACCAAAATATACTTTCAGGTAATGGGTGCAATTTTTTTCTTGAATCAAATATTATAAAAATTAGTTGAATGGATAAAGGTATTAAATTGCTTTTTCTTTCTTTATTAAATTGCTAATTTTATTTTATTTGCTTTTATATATGAGCCCCGGAGTATATACTACACGCAGCTAGCTGAGCACTCCAATTGCCCCTCCATTTCCAGTTTTCCACCACCCAACCACCATATATACGCAGAGCTAGCTGAGCACTCCAAGCTCCTCCATTTCCACCACCAACCACCTCGATCAACATCACAGTACGTCCCCGCCACCCTCACCGGAATCCTCCATTCATGGCTCTTCGATGGCTAAGCTTAGTCGCCGCCATATGGCTCCAATCCGTGAGCGGAACCAACACCAACTTCCCCGTCGACTCCCCTCGCCTGAAGCAGCTCCTCTCCATTTCCCAGGTCCAGCTCAACAACCTCGCATTCGCCAATGACGCCGGAAAGTTATTCGGCTGGTTTTCCGGCATTGCGGCCCTCTACCTCCCCCTCTGGCTCGTCTTCCTCCTCGGCTCCTCCCTCGGTTTCATCGGCTAGGGAGTCCAGTACCTTTTCTGGAAAAATCGTCTCCCTCTCCTACTGGCAGGTCTTCATCCTAACTGCCCTCGCCGGAAACAGCATTTGTTGGGTTAACACGATCTGTTACATCGTCGCCATCCGGAATTTCCCGTCGGACCGCCAGGTCGCGGTGGGGATTTCCACGAGCTATGTCGGGTTAAGCGCTATGATTTTCACGGATATGGTGGAAGCCATGAGCGCATCTTCCCCTACTGACACAGCCCACTCTTATCTCCTTCTTAATTCCGTCCTGCCGTTAATAGTCGCCGTAGTTGCTTCCCCAAATCTCCTCTCTTCACCAAATCTTTGGCGTCCATTTCTTCCACAACAACAGATGGTTCCCTCTTCAACATGGGAATAGAGGGTGGTGAATTAAGACTCCTTTTCGTATTTTCCTATTTTAGTGATAGTTATTAGTAATAATTAGTAAATTCCATTTATATTTTCATTTTTAGTGAATTAAGGATCCTTTTTTATTTTTATATTTTACTACAAATTTTTTTTACTGATTATTGTTAGTATTAATTAATCTGAATTTCGTTTCCTTTTCAATTTTTTGTGAATTATTATTATGATGATGACGACGATGATCACTAGTACAAAAAAAGCTTTTAGAGGCACCCATAAAACACTTTCCGAGTCACCTGTACAGGTGACTCGAATCTTGGAGACTGTGAAAGTCCTCCACTTTCCGAGTCACCTGTAATAAAGGGTGACTCGAAAAGTGGAGGATGTTTTTATTTTTTTATTTTTTAATACAGAGTATCCGATGCACCTGCTCCGCTACAGGTGCCTCGGATTCTCATTTTTTATTATTATAATATTGCTTTTCCACAGCACCTCTGACATGATGGGTGCCGCGAAAAAATATTTATATATTTTTTATTATTTCTTCCCGCGTCACCCTCTCGGGGTGACACAGTTTTATTTATTTTTTTATTATTTTATTTAAAAATTTAATATTACCTAATTTTATTGATTATATTCATCCTGTACAGTATTTTATAAATTCACCAAATGCACACAAAAACTTATCAAAAAAGAATAACAATTAATTAAACTATCTATAAATATTCAACAATAAATAAATTAAAATCAACTAATAATTAACACTAATAACTATAAATCCAAACACAACAATATATATAATTCACGAGTAATAATCAACACAATAAAATACCACAATACACTTATAATATCAACACAATATATAATAACAATCAACACTACATTCAAACATAAACTAAGCATAAGTTAACGTTTAAACTAAATTTACACGCACTCTTCTAGAAAATATTCTGCCCACAACTCTCGAACTTCATCTATGTCGTTCAAGGAGTAGGGTGCTTCATATCAAATATCTACATAATAATTTTAATTATTCAAATTAGTAAACATATTAATTAATAAATTATAATTCAAATATACATATAGTTGTATTTAAACTACTTACCCCATGTAGACAATCAACCTTTGAATACTTAGTAACGATCTCTAACATGTATCTTAGTACATAATATTCACATTCAGTGCCTCCCGGCTGTTGTGGACACTACAAAATACAAACAAAGGTTAATATCATATTAAAATTTTAACTTCATACTTTGCATTGCTTCCATTCAATCGCTTTAGTTCTTCCTCCAATTGTAGAAAGAGATCGAAATGCCCTATATTAGTAATAAACATTTATATCGATGTATAAATAACATATAATATCATTTAAAATATATACATAGTATTTGTGTTAAGATTTTACTTACATATTCAAATAAATTTTGACTTCAAAGTGCCTTGTATTATTCAAAGGATCAAACACATACACCGTTTTTGAAGATGCGCAAATCACAAGCAATATCCAATGATTACTACATTTACAAAATATATATATATATATATATTAAAATTCTAATATCAAAAACTTCAAATAAAGTTATTAAGTTATATAATTAAATTAGTTAAGTAAAATACTTACTTTTCATGATATGGTGCCAAAATGAAATGCCGATCCTTGTGTTCCTCCATGACTTTAATGAAATGTGATGTAACGGAAGAGGAATTTAAGTGAACCATATCTGCTGAAATTTGTGTTGGACATGCAAACCCGATAGATGTCACTCCAAGCTGCTTACCCCGCTTATTCAAAAACCTGAAAAACAACAACTAAGAAATTTCAATAAACTTACAAAAACAAATGTATGTAAAACACATGAACAATTTAAAACTTACAGCATAAACACTTGTATAAATGAGACATCGAGGCAAGCCAATGTCAACAAATCATGTATATCCTCTATCATCACATAAACAGCATTCGCGTTTGCATGATGGAAAACAGCAGAATCCAATTCCACATCAATATACTCTTTCTTAACAGAAAATGATGACAACGCTCGGACAAGTTCCTTGCAATATGTCCTCAAAAGCAAAAACACATTTTCACAAACAATTGGAGGTCGTATATAAGTAGCAGATTGGTCAGCACTTTGACTTGTCATTTGCTTTTCTGAGCTTTTTCTAACATTTTCCTACCAAGAGAAGAGGATTGTGTTCGAATTAATTTACAATTCTAAAGAATACTCAATTTCCCGATTCTTCTGATGCTAACTTCTCCCGTATTCCCATTTCAACCATATCCTTTCTAGCTTTAATACCATCTTTTATCTTTCCCTGAATGTTCAACAGTGTTCCAATAATGCTGTCACAAACATTCTTCTCAATATGCATTACATCAAGACAATGTCTAACAGCTAAATGCTTCCAGTATGGTAGATCCCAAAATATAGACCTCTTCTTCCATAGAGTCTTCTGAGTAGTCTTACACGTTTTGCCGAAAGCAACATTAACATTTTTAACACGGTCATAAACCACTAAACCAGATAAAGGCAAACGAGCTACTCCAGTCTCTGATTTTCCATTGAAAGCTTTTTTCTTCTTTCGATAAGGATGATCAATTGGAAGAAATGTCCTATGACTCATGAACACATTCTTTTTACTGTTATTCAACCATAGATTGGTTGTTTCATCTTCACAAATAGGACATGCCTTAGCTCCTTTATTAGTATAACCTGATAGGTTACCATAGGCTGGAAAATCATTTATGGTGCAAAAGATCATTGCACGTAAGGTAAAACTTTCTCGGGTATAAGCATCATACACCGACACACCTTCATTCCACAACAGTTTTAAATCTTCAATAAGTGGCGCTAGATATAAATCTATGTCATTTCCTGGTTGTTTAGGCCCTAATATTAACAAGGATAACATGATGTATTTTCGCTTCATACACAACCAAGGTGGAAGATTGTAGACTACTAAAAGGACAGGCCAAGTATTGTGTCGACTACTCATGTTACCATGAGGATTCATTCCATCAGTACACAATCCAAGTCTAAGACTCCTGTTTTCATTACCAAATTCAGGCCACCTCCTATCAATATTCCTCCATTGTGGTGAATCAGCTGGGTGTCTTAGTTTTCCATCGTCTTTTCTCCCAATAACATGCCATTGCAATTTTTTTGCATCCCTTGGATTAGCAAACATGCGTTTAATCTTGGTATTACAGGTAAATACCATAACACTTTGGCTGGTGGACCTTTCTTATTCTTTGGTTCATCACCAACATTTTTCCTTTTGTAACGCGATGACCCACACTTTGGACATACATGCAAGTCTTTGTATTCTTTCCAATACAATATACAATCATTTGGACATGCATGTATCCTCTCAATTTCCATACCCAACGGACACAACAACTTCTTTGCTTCATAAGTTGAATTTGGAAGTTGATTATCATTAGGAAGCATGTCTTTTATTAGTTCTAATAATCCCGTGAAACTCTTATCACTCCATCCATTCTTTGCTTTTAAATTATATAATTTAAGCACACCAGATAACTTAGTATATTTGGCACACCCAGAAAACAAAGGTTTTTCAGCATTCTCAAACAAACATTTAAATTCAGGAGGCATTTCACTACAATCTCCCTGCATATCACGCATCATTTCATCTATTCGGTCTTTAATCCCATCATCCTCATCATTCTCCTCGTTATCTGCCTGAGTTCGACTATTTGCTTCAGTTTCACTCTTTGCATGAGTTTGACTGTCTGCATGAGCTTCATTCTTACTAACACTTGTACTAGGCGGTAAGCTTTCACCATGCCATATCCATCGATCATACCCTTCTTTAAAGCCACGGCATATTAAATGAATTTTCACTTCTTCAGAACTACGATATCTTTTCAAATTTTTACAATCACAACACGGGCACGATATAAAATCTTCGGCCTTTTGACTTTTATTTTTTTCAGCACATTCTATAAACTCTTGAACCCCTTGTATATATTTGAATGTAGTGCGTTTTTCATACATCCAACTCCGATCCATATCTGTCAATTATAGTACTATGAAATACCATTTATTTCATATACGTATAAATAATACTATTTTTATATTTGTGTCACTAATATTAAGATTTGACACCTTAAATTAACATTATAAGATCAAATATAATAGAGAGGATTTAATATTATTATTGTCAATGAGAGTGGTCATATAAAAAATCATTGAATTAAATGTGACAATGTCAAAATAGTGTGAAATTAATGTAGAATTTGCCTCATTAAAAAGTAGTTTTTTTAGTATTTGAAATTGGTAAATAAATAAATAAATATATATTTATTTATTAAAAAGCTAAATTAAAATTTATATTAAACAATACAACATATATGTGGTCCCTATTAATAAAGCCAACATAGTACTACATATCACTTACATACTACTTTTCACTTCAAAAAAAAAATATAAAAAATGATCCCTATATTCCATATGATGCCAATACAGTACTAGTATTCACTTGCATAAATCCAACAACTTTTCAATTAAAAAAATATATTACTGCTTTTTCACTTCCCAAAACAACAAAAACATCACAAACAAATGGTCCCAACTCCCATATAATGCCAACACAGTACTAAACAAATGGTACCTTCATCATCTCTTAAATACACAAAGCCAACTGCTTTTCAATTAAAAAAAAAAACATCAATTAAATACACTTATCATTTTGACATTGTCACATTCTTGTCTCCAATAGCATCCATTGATCCAATTAATTAAATTAAAGGTAAGAAAATAAATATATGTACCTCGTGGTTAACTGGTTGGTGGAGTGGTGTGCCTGTGCGATGAGACTGCCTTTGCTCTACTGGAAATCATTGCTAGTTTCTTCACCGCAACCACATCCCCGTTCTTTAGTGTTCCCTGAATGTTTGTCATATATGGCTTTGATTATTAATTTTTCTGAAATTCCTGACAAATAGTAAGATGAGCAAGAAAGGATTGAAATATATTGTTGCTAACCTTGTATACATCACCAAAACCTCCTTGGCCGAGTTTATTTTCTTCACTGAAGCCTTTGGTTGCGGCTTTCAAATCTTTATATCTGTAGTTCTCTGGACCTCTCAACTGAGTTGCCCCCAGAATATTGCCTAAACAATTTTAACAAAACAGTAGGTGAAAGTTGTATCAATAAGATAGATTGGATATGATATTGACTGCAACTAAATTAAACTAACTAGCTTCAATTCGATCACCTCTTCTTGCTGCATTTGGCTTTTTTGATCTTCGATAAAGGAAAATGGCTGCTAATACCATTATGATTCCCACACCACCGACTACACCTGCAATAATAGCTTTCTTTTTTCCTGAACTCCCTGGAGAAGATGGATATGATGTTAGCAGGGTAAAAACGAGTGCTAGCTGCTTAAGAAACATTAAGAGATCAGAACAGTTTCTAGGAAGGGTGCTAGGTTAGTTGTTGGTTATTCATGAAATAAAACCACCTGAAGATCGACAATAACGTTTTAACACTAACATTTGTACATAGTGAATTAACTACATTTGTATGTAAGGTCATTTATCCATTTTGAGTTGCTAGTGTTAGGAGAGTAGGCTCTATGCAGAATCATTGAATTTTTTTTTGCATATATTATAGATACATCCAATCTGGGATAAGCTCCTAATCCTGTTTGAAGCTGAGCTCATTTTATTATTTGAAGTTATAAAAGCAGAGTTTATTTATTTATTTTGATTAATGGAATCTGTCATTATTTTTTGCTCTTATAATCTCTAGTAATTATTTATTTACATCCAAGTATCTTCTTTGCTCTTATAATCTCTAGTTATTTTGTTTACAGGTTCTCCTTTTTATCAAAGAGCTTGGGCACACAAAATTTAGATTAATGGAATCTGTCACACACTGATTTTTATTGTTTTTTATTTTTTTTGGGTACACAAGAAAGGAATTTGGATAGATCATGAGACCTCTTATATGGAGTCTCAGGCCTTTTGAATACTGAATTAGACAAAAGGAAACATGCTCCCTGTAGCCTTCTGATAGAAAAGATTTTTTTTTTTTCCAAATGTGAATATTATTTTAATTAATATAGGATTATCCACCTTTATTAACTACATTAACAAGAGGGTAGTGATGATTAAAATTATATTTCCAAAGTTAATTAAACAAACAGATCAGATGAACTAGGCTGTATCCAGTGTGTGTAGCTGGATGGGTACGGTCAAGGCCATTTTTTTCATTTTTGTTAAGCATTCATCGTTGTTAACCTAGCTCTGGATGTCATGAGACCTCTTATATGGAGTCTCAGGCCTTTCATTTTTTTCATGAACATCAAATTCAATGTTCAAGCTTCAAGGGAATCAAGACTAGAAATCATCTCAAAAATTAATGTTCAAGCTAGAAATCAAGGAGAGGAGATCGGAACAGTGAGTACCTTCGTCGTAGATCTGTGGTCCGTCGAGGAGCTACGGATGGCGGAGCAGGGCAGTAGGCGAGGCGGCGAGGCTGTGTTCCATTGGAGATTTGGAGGCTGTGTTCGTCGTGGATCTGTGGACCGTCGCGGCTGTCTGCTAAGGGAGGCCAGAGGACGGAGGCGGCGAGAGCCGGACGGACGACGGAGGTGGCGAGAGCCGGAGGCGTGATGATGGCGATCGAGTTAATTTTCAGATCTAGTCCAAGGGTTTTTTTTTTTTTTTTTTTTTTACTTAGGTAGATTTCGTTTTTTTACTAAAGGTTAAAGAGTTATTTTTAGGTGGGAATCCGAGGCTCCGGTCTAGGCAGGTGCCTCGGATTCCTATATTAATATAATAATAATAATATTTGAAGCCGCGTCACCTTTTCTGTGGATTCCAATATTATAATAATAATAATAATAATAATATTATATTCGCGGCAACCGCTTAGGGGGGTGCCGCGGATTCTAATATTATTATTATAATAATATTATATCCGCGGCACCCTTTTTAAGTGGGTGACGCGGATTCGCATATATTATTATATTAATAAAATTTCCGAGGCACCTCTTTGTAATTGGTGCATCGGAAAGTTCTCCCTTTTTCTATCCAAGACACCTTCACCTTGAAGGTGTAGTGCAAAGTACTACTTATATATCCAATTATGTAGTAGTGGATGATGATGATCATCATCATCATCTTAAAACTGTAAAAAAATACTTACGTTTTCATGAGTGCAACACCAAGATATGATTCCACAGAGAGAACGGGAAGAAGAGGGAAACAATGCAAAAGGAAAAATTATGATTTCCAAACTCACCAATCCATTGTATTTATAGGTAGAAAATATGAGAATTATAAACTTGTATAATTTTTCAAAAAGGAAAGGTGTAATTATATAATATTACCAATTAATAAATTTTAATTAATTTTCATTTTACATTTGCTTACCTAATAAGTTTTACTACAAAAGTTTGAGCGGGAAAATGAAATAGGAGGATTTTGTTTTTATATATATACTAGTATTATACCCGTGCGATGCACGGCATGAAAATTTTAAGCATAAATGTTATTGAATTGTCTCATATCAATCGTTAATTTAACTATAAAAACTTAATCAGTAATAATTAAAAAAATCAAAATTACAGATTATTAAAAACTTCTTTGTAAACCATATTAGTGGTTGAGTTACAACATGTTCCTAAATCACTACAGATTAAAACTTTTAAACCATTTGGATTGCTAACTCTTGAAGCAGCAACATACAGTTGACCGTCCTTATTTGCGTATCATATGCATGTATTAATGATGATGACCCATTTGTGTTGGTAATAGTAGACTGTACAACATTCTGATTTGAAATAATAAAGACGTAGGTAGACTATTGGAAGTCAAATAAATCAGAATATGCACATTTATAATTAATACTAACCATAAGTCAACACACTCAAAGGAGTCGATAGCGAGCCTTGGAATACACCATATACAATTAACGGACTTGATGAAATATTCTTCAATGTTGAAGAACAATTTTCTACCAACAAAAACAAACCGATGAAATATATTAGATAAAATCATCCTATATAAGAGCAACTTAAAAAACAAAAATTATTTACACAACCATATTATTTAACTATATTATTTAACACACAAACCATTATATATAACCTTTTCAAATGTTTAAAAAGTTTTTGACATACAAAACATTATGGGGGTGTTTGGCAAATGGCTGATAGCTGGTAGCTGATAGCTGATCGAATTAGATGATAGCTAATAGCTGATTGTGTTAGTTGGTTTGACCAACTGATTGTATTAGCTGGTTATAAAAAAGTGTTTGGTAAATTAGCTTATTACTATTAGCTTATTGCATGTAAAATGACATTTAAGGGTATGAGTGTATTGTATTATTTTAAATTATAAATATAACAAAATATATAAATTCTTATTGATAAATGATTATAAAATTTAAACCAACATCTATACTTTTTCTAGGGCATAAGTTAATTATTTTAGTTTATTTAACTATAATTAAATTATATTTGAAAAAATATTATTAAAGTATTTTTAATTTTAATAATTTAAAATTCAAAATAATTTTTTTTCTGTAATTATTATTATTATTATTATTATTATTATTATTATTATTATTAAATAGTCAGTACCCACAGTCCCACACCCACAACCGGTTAGCCGGTTATTATTATTATTACACCCACAACCGGTTATTATTATTATTATTATTATTATTATTATTATTATTATTATTATTATTATTATTATTATTATTGTTAAATTAAATACCCAAACCCACTTACCCACAAATACCCAAATCCACTTACCCACAACCCATTCCCAATCCCTACCCAACTTCCTCTGCGAACGATGCGAAGCAGCGAAAAGAAACGGCAATTTCGAAGCGAAGACGGCGAAGAAGAAGATGAGAAGCAGAGGATGAAGATCTGGTTATTGGAGATGGCAGAAGGCAAGAATCAGAGAAGCGAGAAGCGGTGGGCAAGAAATGCAAATCTGGTTTTTAATTTTTTTTTTTTGTGAATTAAAAAATATAGTTCGTATGTTGAGTTTTGAAGATGAAGATGATTTCTGTGATGGGTTAATAGTCAGTTTCATTATTTTTTTAATTTGTTTTTAATTTGTGAATTTTCTTCCATTCTGTTCTGTTCCATAGCTCCATGTGAGGGGAGGAGAAGAAGAGGCGGTAGTGTTTTCCATTATTTTGTTCCTTTACTGAATATCGGTGAGATTTTGGATGAAGATGAGATCAGGGATAATTTAGACTTTTTAGAAGAAATGGAGAAGAAATAGAATCAGCCAAGGGAGAAACGTTGCTCCCAGCAGCGTTTAGAAAATTACTCTTGCTGAGTAATTTGTGCGATTCATCAAATCGCAGATGGCTTTCATTTTTTTTTTTTTCAATTTAATCTTATATATTGAAAGGTATATCTGCGAATTCCTAAGATGACTAACATTCATTTATATTTTTCCATTATAACATATTGATTCGTATATTTCTTCATCGAAGTGATGCATGGAAGATCTGAGTACAGATCTGTGTTTTTAAAGTGCTCAGTAACCCTAATTTCGCATACGGCTCAAAGGGCAATAGATCTTCTAAAAGGTAAGTGTAGATTAGGGCTATTTCATTTGGGTAATTCTATTTCCAAAAGTACTATTAGTCCAATGACATTTAATTGTTTCTTTACCTTACGAATTTTACCTCTATTAATTTAAGCTTATATATTGTAAATTTTTTTCGAGGATCTAGAACTTTAAGAAGACATTCTTCTATGAAGGTTTATACAAAGTTAAAGATAAGTGTAATGTGAAGGGTTAATTATTATACTGTATTTGTATGAAGATTAAGCATACAATATTTGAAATATGCATTTGGATTTCATATTCATTAAATTGTAATAAAAAAAATAGAACATTTGTTTAGATTAAAGTAATATAAGGCAAACTGTTAACTAACCTTTGTTATGTGATGATAGTTTTCTCTTGTTTCCAATAACTGTTGAACCAGTTAGTTGCTTCATAGCTCAATACTCTGCTTTCTACTTCGCCCAGAAAACTGTTAGGATAGTATCATTACAAAACAGTGTTCTTATATGCTTATGAACATGTTTGTTTCTTGAATGCCATGTATATATAGCTATCAGCTTGTAGAGAATTCAAAACTCACAATTTAGGATTGCTATAGTGTACTCAATGTTGACCATCGATGATTACAGCAATTTGATGCTTTTTTTTTTTATTTTTTTGGGGTCTTCTAATCCCATTATTCTAACCTAAACATAATACATGTCAATATAATACAGTAATCCTCTGATTTCTTTCAAGTTCGAAATATCTTGTTGCATCTCAAATTTCTGATTCATGTTTCTACTGACTGCTCATGATATATTTGTTCTTTCTGGTCTGTTCCATTGGAAATACTACCTGCAATAATTAGTTTTCTTTCTACAGTATGTGGTCTTTGGACATAACATGCCTTAACCTATGGAGTATCAAGGATCACTCTTAGGCATTGATACACTTCTTGGTTGGCCTTTACACCTCCCTATCTCTAAGGTGAATTAATTCTATAGCATTTTATTTTGACTTTATCTTTCCCGTATAATTTCACTTAAAAAATTGGGATCTAACATATTTCTGTGCAAGTTTTGCCTCTCCCAGTTCAAGTTTCCCCAAAACAAATGAGCATCACTTTATAAATCTTAAAAAGGAAGAAGTTTTGTGAGATAGAGAGGAAAATATTACCTCCTGTTTCTTGATCTTTCTCTTGTGTTTCTGTACAGTGTAAATGTGAGGTTTCACTTTCTATTGTGTTTCATTGTAAATGTGGGTTTCACTATCTTTCTCTTGTGTTTCCGTGTAAATGTGGAGTTTCACTTTCTCTTGTGTTTCATTGTATTTATAGCTAGCATCTCACAAAAATTCAGTTTCAAAAATATGTAATAATTATATTTTAGCAGCTTGCTTGTGCATTGGTAATAAATGATACGGAGTAGTTATTAATTACTTGTCAATGCTGCCAGAACTTTATGTCAATCACTGCATACCTTTATCAGTTAAACAGTGCTCCCTAATAATTAGCTTTGAAAAATGAAAAAGGTGTAAATATTTTTTGGTAAGATATTGTAAAATCTTGGGCCGGTCAGTCATGCAATTTGTCAAAAAAAAATAATTCTAAATTAAATTCAAAAATTTTGGGCGGGACAATTGAGCCTAATCCGTTTGGCTTTTTTATATATAGGATATATAGATAGATTATAAGTCTAACTTCTTTTTGATTTAATAATTTGACGGACATTTTTCTACCTATTATAGGCCCAACTTCTTTTCGCTCTTATTAGTATAGTAGAATGTTGTGTATGTTGTAATTCGGCCTATCAACTTGTTAGTTCTCGCGTGATAGTTGTACGGTAACACATCGATTGTATGTATGAAGAATATTGCAATATGGAATGGAAGAGTAGAGAGAAAAATATAACACAAGAATGTAGAACTCAAGAACACAAGTTCTCTCTTTCATTATGCCTTTAACATGTATATATATACATCCATATAACCCTTCATTTTCTATAACATAAATAATGGAATAAATATAAGGCAAATGAAAGGTCTTGTGATAATGGCCATAATAATAATAATATTTATAACACTCCCCCTTGGCCATTATCATACTATACTCAAGCCTCGTTAAAAACCTCGCTAGAAAAACCCAGTGGGAAAAACCTAGACGAGGAAAAGAGTACACGAAGTATGTTGATCCATGTGTTGCACCGGTTGCCTCATTAAAAACCTTAGCCTAAGAAAACCCAGTGGGAAAAAACTTAGCAAAGGAAAAGAGTACAAACATAAGCCTTCTGGGCATAATCTTCAAGATTTCAAGAGTCTTCAGGACTATCCACTCAAGTGCACCAACATTGGTTGCCTCATTAAAAACCTTAGCTTAAGAAAACCCTGTGGGAAAAACTTAGCTAAGGGAAAAAGAGTACAACCATATGCTTTCGTAGCATAATATTCAGGATATCAAAAGTCCTCTAGATTGTCCATTCTAGCACAGCTAGGCGTTGTCGCTCCCCCTGAAGATAACAATCTTCTAAGCCCACGCATCCCAATTTTATGAACATATTACTCAAAAGTGGATGTAGGCAGAGACTTAGTGAACATATCTGCAAGATTGTTCAGTGGGGAAAACATTCTCAATAAGAATTTTACAACTCTTCTAGAGTTCATGTGTGTAGAAGGATTTAGGTGCAACATGTTTTGTAAGGTTCCCCTTAACAAAACTATTACTTGCTTGTGCAACACAATCTTATTTGTCCTCATATGGGACATTGGGGGTAAAAATATAACATAACCAGTTTTGAACTTGGCATCATAGGGATAAAATAAAAGAGCTAATGCCCAAGTTGCCCATCAAAACCACATATTGGTTTCTCACATAAACGTCAAAATCTTTGTACCTCGAAGGTGTTGGAGGATATGTTAAATAACATTCCAATTTTCATTGTAGGGAGAAACACTAAATCTTGCTAGCAATTTCATCGCAAATTCAATATCAGGCCTGATGCGATTATGGAACTTCTAGTTCAATAATAGTGCTCCAATAGCAATGAAGTAATGGACTTCCAGTCCCTAAATATCCTCATTATAACCTTCGAGTCTAAATGGTCATTTATCTACTTCAAGAGATTATTGGACAACCGTTTGTGTGATAAGTAAATAATACTTGTATATATAAAACATCTTCAAGATATTTTTCAAATAGGCTAATTGGTGTATAAAACTTCTTCAAGGAGAAGCTCGATCTTCAGGTCGAGACAATACTTGGATTTCCAAGTCTTTTATTTTAAAACTCCATCTTTCGGCATGAGCTAATATCACCAAGCTCTCTATGTGTTTCAATGATATTTAAACTGTCAATATCGACTGAGATGATAAATAAATAACTCCATTAGCAATTCTTTAACGAACACATAATGGTACATATTATTTATACATTTCTTCTTCGGGAGGAAAACACTCAGTCAATAATATTCAAGTCATACAAAGACTTTAGTAGTTTAATGATACACGTTGAGATTTTCACTTTCCACATTCCAAAAGTGTTGAATCCATCGGGGATTTACAAATAAATATTAGCGTCTAATGACCAGTAAATTACGGTCATGACGTTCATCAACTGCATATCTAAATTCATAATTCACTGCTAATAATGTTAATTTGCGGAACGTAATGCCATATGTTGTGGGAGAGAATATTTGATCAAAATCAATTCAGGGTCTCTACGTAAACCCTTAAGCTACCAGTCTCGCTTTATATCATACCACCATATTGTTTGTAATTCTCTTTCGTACAAACACCCATTTGTAACCTACAGGGTTAACATTAAATGGTGTACGTGTTATAAAGAGAATACAGTTTTAGCGAGTTGAGCTGTATATGCCTTTTTTTTTTTTGAAAGTGAGCTGTATATGCCTTAATTGCTCTTTTATACATAAAAAAAAAAAAATCAAGGCACTACTGGTGCCTAGCTCTGGATCCAGATTCTCATATACTAAGAGCAATTTATAAGGCAATTGTGTTGTCGACAACTATAACATTTTTCATAAATTTCTCCCATATATATAAAATAATGGCAATTTCTAATTCAACCAGACTCTAGCCATTTCCCAAAGGTATTTTTATCTGGTCGTTCCGCATCCCAGTATTATGATTTTGGGTGCACCTATAATTTTACTGGGGTTTTTCGCCTTCCAGACGAATGTCTTCTGGACGAATATCTGCAGGACATACTTCTTTAAGCGATTTCAAGAATGACACCATTTTCTACTAGATTTAGCTTTCCGCGGATTATACCAACATGTCTCCACGCTTCTGGCGTCAAGGAGCATTGGTAGATATATATGGCCCAAGTTGGGGAAAATATATAGGACCTAGTCACTCATGAGTATATATATTGGCAGATTAATTATCTACTGAACTTCTAGTTCAGTTTACTTCTTCTGAACTTCTAGTTCAGTCTACCTAGTACGTGGATTTAAATATTGAAGATCAATCATTCATAGAATTTCTCGGCATTCTATAAAATTTGAGATCTTATCTCCCCCTAATGCCGTGAAATGATCTTCATAAAGTGTGCAGTCAGCGTACCTAATTATATATTGATCCCTTATCATGGGCTCTAAGAAATTAAATAACAGACGGAGGTTTATAATCAACATATACATGCCCACAAAGGTACGCTATGGTGGTGACATAGGAAAAAGACTGCACACTGTTAATAAAACGCATATGGGAAATGTTTGGTTTATACCACGTACTAGGTTCTAGGGGAAATAATTATGATATGCAGTAGGTCAGATTGTGATAACCACAATAGCATATAAAACTGATGTCCCCAACAAGAAAAAAATATATAATCAGATATGAAAGCATACATATCAATTGATATTACAAGGGTACATAACAATCATAGGGAAGCTGTGAAGCTTGTCAAATAAAATATATCTTCAAGATCTCCCAAAAATCCTTATCCTCAACTTTACATTAGTTCACTCACTGGTTTGGGAATTGCTTCGTGCAAACTAATATGAAATAATTTAGTCCTTCGTTTGCTTCAGGCAAATTGATATGATATGATCCATTCTATCTTCCAAACCAATAACATCTAAATCAATCATTTCATGTATGGCATAAGTCAAAGATCATTCTTATAAAGGAGTATACCACTCCTTAAACAACACAGAATTGCACTAAGCCATAGTCGGAGAGGGATTTGTCATGTTGACATCTTAAATTTAGTCAAAAGATGATTATCATAATTTGTTGATAATAGCAATCCTTCCGGGATTGATATAAGATTTATGGAACAAATAATAATTCAATTTTGAATTAGCAGCCAGTCAATTGCATACGAGAGTTATGTTGCATGCATGAGAAAAATTTCCATATATAAATAAGCAGGCAAACTAAGAGAATTAAATCTGAGAAGTAAACTTCCTCTGGAAAATAAAGTTCCAGAAAGTAAAATTTCAAGAAGTAAATCGAGAAGCAAGATTACAGAGGTAAGATTAGAGATGTAAGCTTAGAGAGGTAAACTTTTTGAATAGTCAATTCGAGTAGTAAAATTAGCAAGAAAAATCAGCAAAGTAAGGTCCCTTTGCACTCATAATAATTTGCCTCCAAAAATAACTTTGCACTCAAAAACACATTTGGAGTGTATATACTCCTCGGTTACGCAATAAGTTATTGCAGCCATGAATTAACTTTTCGAGTGCTTCAGGTATAAACTAACTTCTCGGATGCTTCAAGCATGAGTTTACTTCTCGGATACGTCATGCTTCAGGCATGAGCTAACCTTTTTGTCCATGAATATATTTTCATGAATTACTCAAACATTATCATGACACTAATCATTTCTTCATCAATACCTTATCATTTCATTATCACAATTTATCGCAATATTTGCTTCAGGCAAATTAGCTAGAATCATCAAGATGATGTTCATTCTCCGATGACCAAATGCTTTGGTGTGCGGCACATAGGGATCAATGCCCTTCAGACCCACATTGTTAGCAAATCTGCTTC